CATATGTGATAATGGGATAGTCTGATGGAATATAACTAGGTACACTCCATGAGATAACAGCCCATGTAGTGTCCATGATACTGGATACTGAACCAACTGGACCAGGTACTATAAATTAAGACACATTTTCACATAACTGATATAGTATATAATAATTACGTACCAATTCCAATCTCTACTGCAATAGGATCACTCAAAGGACCTCTTCCAACAGAATTGACAGCAGCTACACTGATGTTATACTCAGTACCAAATACTAGATCATTCAATATGATATATCTCTCAGTACTAGTGAGGTTGTATGTGATACTACTGTTACTGATAATCACTGTATAGCCTATGATTAGACCATTACGTTTAGAGCAATTGACCTCATTCCAAGTGAGGTTATTAACTGGTTGTAATAGTGAGAGAGAATTAGCTACACCAGTAGGAGCTATAAAAACAACTGCTGGTGATTAATGCCAATAAAACAATGTACATACCTTTTGAAAAATTTGTCTTTCCTTTAACTGAAGTATTGCCAGATTCTCCCAGTACATTACCAGCTCTCACTGTGGCAGTATAATTCATACCACTGTACAGACCTATTAATGTATAACTGTATGTTGTAGTGGACTGATGAGGAGTAACAGAGACTGTCTCATTCACTGATGATAACTGAGGACAAGATGAAGTAAAGGAGATGGTGTAGTATGTTACATAGTTGTTACTACTGGGAATAATCCAGTTCACTGTAATACCAGTGGTTCAGACATTAGATACTGAGAGACTATATAGTTACTGGACTAGGAACTAGAACATAAATCAAGTACACTTTCTCAATGATAATAACTCACCATCAAATCTTAATACTGTTACTGTACTATTAACTGAAGGAAGATGTATATATGAGTACACACTGATGGTATAGGTATTCATTGGTGCAAGATTTGTTAGTACAATTTCATCTTCAATGGTAGATACTGCATTCCTGGTTACACCTCCAGTAGTATACTCAATCACATATCCATTAATCTCTGATGAATTGGTCCAGTTCACTTTGATGCTAGTAGCATTTAATATAAACCCTCGCACATTATTTGGAGGACCACTAGGAGCTAAAAAAGAGACAAAGGTATCTACTATTGATTAAAGTATAATCATACCATCATACCATGTAATATCACAAATTGACTGTAG